GAGGTGACCCTAAATTTGCCCGGTATGCCTTTTAAAAGTCAAAGTTTAACTTAGTCCTCATTCAATACATTTTCAATGTAGACAACAATCTGTGCTACTATATTTATATATGTTTTATATTTTGGAGGTCCATGGGTATCTGGAAGCAAGAATTGTATTGTTTTGCCTTGTTGGATATCAAACTTTTGTTGATAGCATTTTGTTTCTTGGTTCACTTATCAGTTATTGATTTTAATTAACGTTCCGCCTATTGATTTATTGTTTAATGGCTTTTTAGTTTAAAGTCTATGGGCCAAAAAAAGTGCAGAACAAATACTTTGTGTGTCGTAAAAGTTTATTTTTTTTGTACCTGCAGTGAAAAAGAGGGACATGTCTTTTGCATTTCTCTATATTTTCAGTGACTCGAGTCCCTTTTTCTTTGTATTGCTTCTAAGGTCTAGTGCGCCCAAAGGAAACTCTCATAAACAAACAGAATCACATTTTTTAAATTAAATAAACAAATAACAGCTTTTAAAATATATCAACAAAAGTATAGTTTTACAGTCCTTTTTGAAGCCGCTTGAAGTGATAAAAAAAAAATGCATCCAACTGAAATTGTGTTATCCTGTGCACTCAGTTGAGTTAATGCTCTGTCCGTGGTCCTGCATAACATAACATAAAAAACTATAGTTCACTATGATGAAAAACAGGAAAGGCTATAAGATCAATTGACTTCATTGTTTCCTCTAGAAAACTCTGAAATACTTTTTTGATGATTGCTGCTGCTCTTGCATGGAATCACCTGGAAAATACATCACACACTTATGTTCCTGGAACAAGATTGAGAGGTAAAGGTCTTTCCAAGAAGATTAAAACATGAATAATTGATTTGTAGGACAGCTAACATTAATAAGCTTCTTGCTTCCTTAACTTCTGAAGGGTATGTTCCATCAATTGTTGCACAGTGGAAACCGAGAAACACATTAAATGTTTCCCTGTATGGTGGTTGGTTATAAATGTTACAATGTGTTGATATCAAGGGGAAAATTGGACTTTTAGAAGGAGATTACAAAACTATATGATAAACGGAGATAGGACAAATATTCAAGCAGAAATTAATATCAGGAATAAAAAACTGATAGTTTTGGTGATAGAGACATTGCGGCATAAACGAACCAACAATATACATAGAGTTAGGTCTGGAAATATTTGGACACTGACACAAGTTTTGTTATTTTGGCTATTAAACATAATAAATTCAAGTTAAATAATAAGTGATAGGCTTAAAGAGCAGTCTATCTGCTATAATTGGTGGATATTCACATCCAGATTGAAGGAATGGTTTAGGAATTACAGATCTTTAATATGTACCCCCTCTTTTACAAGGGACCCAAAGTACTTGGAGAATTTACTCAAAAGCTGTTTTTAATGGGCAGGTGTGGGCTCTTAATGCATGTGATACAGGTCATCCTTATACTGAAAATAAAATCCAGCAGAGAGACAACAGGAGTGATTGAACCAACAGTTCGGTGCATTCTGAGAAAAAAGAAAGCACTGGTGAGCTCTGCAACACAAAAAGGCCTGGACGTCTACAGAAAACATCAGTGCTGGATGATCATAGGATCCATTCCATAGCAAAGAAAAACCTCTTCACAACCTCCAGCCAAGTTGTAGCGGGACCTGGGGAACCCGGTTAGTTATCCCCTTTGGTAATGATAGGTCCGACCCATTTCCCCAGTAACTGGATGGCACACAGTTCCAGGGTACAACTTTGACAATCTTTATTTGGGCACACAGCTTTTTATGCACAGACCCCTGCAGGGGGTCTCCATCCAACACAACACAGTCTCATGCAGGAAGGGGCTGGGGAACAGATAACCATCTCCCCCTCTGGGAGATACTAACTGGACACAGGGACACACATGAGTACACATTACATACAGGGGGGTGAACTCTGGGGCTCTGCGCCACGGGATGGGAAGGGGATACAGGGTTACAACTTATATGGATGAATAGCCCCAGGTCCCCCCTAAGTGGGGCGATCAGATGTAGAGAGCCTGAGATATCAGAGTTGAAAGTCTGGGGCTCGAGGCTCTGTACATCCCTGAAATTAGTTCCATGGCGTTGCTTGGTTTAATCAGGCGAATTCAAACTTTGCACCTAAACAAAGCAACAACCAATCAGGCCACAGGCCGTGTTGGGTGCCGAATGCTCCCCATGATGTGCATTCGGTGATACGAACACCCAAGTTAAGCACACGCCGCTCATTCCCTTGAAGTCTGTGGTTTTCACACCTCGTTAGCGAGGTGTGAACATTCTGACTAGACGTTCAATATTGGGTATCGGGGTAACTCCGCATACAGTGTAAAATAGATAAAAAAAATAAAAAACCAAAATAGGAAGTGTGATCCACAAAATCTTTCGACTGGTATAATTAAGCTCCCATAATAGCTTCAAATGTAAAAAGTGACAGACAGAATTAAAAGTCCTAAACGTACCAGGAGATGGCTTGTGAACAATGTAGATAAATAGATGGTAATGATTACTATATTTGGTGGTATATAAAATATCTCTTAAAAAGAGTAGTGAGTCTACACCTTATGTGTAGGACCCACATTAGGTATTGCCAGGAAAAATGCTGCCCCTAACTAGAAATTTCTAGCATTTTTCCTGGCAATACCTCATGTGGGTTCTACACATAAGGTGTAGACTCACTACTCTTTTTAAGATATATTTTATATACGACCAAATATAGTAATCGCTACCATTTATTTATCTACATTGTTCACAAGCCATCTCCTGGTACGCTTAGGATTTTTAATTCTGTCTTTCACTTTATACCATTATCCAAGTCTACCAGAAATAAAAGACTTCATGAGCGCAAATACAGAGGGTTCACCACAAGGTACAAAATATTTATAAGCCTCAAGAATAGAAAGGCCAGATTCAACTTTGCCAAAAACCATCTACAAAAATAAAGTCAGCCTAGTTCTAGAACAGCATTATTTGGTCTGATGAAGCTAAGAACTAATGCGACCAGCGGGTAGATTACTCTTCAAGCGATCAATACACTTGCAAAAAGCAAGTGAATGATAATTTGGGAATGTGCATCCTACTGAATTTTGTTAAATATGGTGTTTTGTGAATAGTCCAAATCCTATACTTTCTATAGGATTCAGATGCAAAAGCACCAAGATTAATCCAAACACCAAATGCATACAGATTAATACTTTAAATCTGGTCGGACATTCTAAATTCCAACAGTATTTGGCTTTAGTAAATTTGCGAATTTCCTATGTGGTTGGGATTCAATAATTTTTACCAGATTTTGTCAATTTTCTGCAAATTTTGTGTATACAAAAAATTATTAGAGAAGGTATTAAAAATAGGTCTTCAGCAGTTAAACAAATAAACATCAATGAAATAGAAGATCAAATAGGTAGATACATGTTATATGTTTTATAGAACTCTTTTATATTCAAATATAGCCACTAGAGTTGAGCGAACCCGGACTGTGATTGGCCAGTGCAGCATGTGACCCAGCCTCTATATATAAGCTGGAGTCGCGTAGTGCCGCACGCACATGAGCTCATGTTAGTGTAGGGAGAGGATGCTGCATCTGTGAGGGACAGCTTAGGAAAGAATTCTGCAAACTAGTACATTAGTGGGGTGCACTTCATATCTGAGAGTCAAATAGAAGCATCAAATACTGTGGTTACATCAGAGTTTTAAAAAGTAAATGAAATAGAAGCGTCAAATACTGTGGTTACATCAGAGTTTTAAAACTTAAAATTTGCTAAACTGCTAAATAGTAAATTTGGGGCATGCGCTTCATATCTGAGAGTCAAATAGAAGTGTCAAATACTGTTGTCACATTGCAGTTTTAAAACTTAAAATTTTCTGGGTGCTAATCTGCTAAATAGTACATTAGTGGGGTGCACTTCATATCTGAGAGTCAAATAGAAGCGTCAAATAGTGCCCTTACAGTGCAGTTGTAAACATTCTAATTGTTTTGCTGCTAATCTTCTAAATAGTACATTTTGGGCGTGCTCTTCATATCTGAGAGTCAAATAGAAGCGTCAAATACCAATATAACAATATTGTTATTCGGGGGCAATACCCTCACAAGTCAAACTGAGAGGTCAGTTTATAGAGGAAAACTGTTGCCTAGATACAATTCTAAAAAATTTCCATATGTTCTTTGCAGACTTTACATGCTGGAAAAACACAGGTGCCAATTGCTGTGGCTTTCTGCAGTGTGCAGACCGGCAAGGAGGGCAGGGTTGAGGAGTGGGTGGAAGATGATGTGGAGGATGATGAGGTCCTAGACCCCACATGGAAGCAAGGTCATGCGAGTGACGTGTGCAGTTTTGAGGAAGAGGCGCAGGTCGCACAGAGGCACGAGCACAGCATAAGAGGGAGCAGGGTGCAAAAGCAGAGTGGCCGCCCTCTAGTGCTCATCGGCATGTATTATCTTTACAATTCCCACAGTTATCCAAGTAACAAATGGAGCGATAAAAGGAACCATAACAGATTCGCAGTTTCGCAGTCTGGTGACCAGGACCCAGACACTGTCTGGGCGGCAGTCGGACGACCGGAACCCAGTATGCCTGATGTTGGAATGGATTAGCAGTGTCTGGTGCAGGCTAACCGCACGCGTCCTGGTGTTGAGCACCAGCGTTTGTGCGGCCACATACCAGGACCCTGATGCAGCTTCAGTAAAAAGAGTAATGGATACCAGAAGCCATCACCAGACTGATCCGCAACTTGGAACAGTATATGACATTCAATGTAGCTGCTTTGCGTGCTTTCGGTGTTGTCGTTCTGCTGCTGCTCGCGTGTCTGCGCTGCAGCGTAACTTTGGCCTTCCCGCTCACCGCCTCATGAGACTGTGCAAGCTGCAGCACGCACGGGTCAGTCACTCTGCACCAGACTTGCCCTCCAATTGATCAGAGTTAAAGGATTTCAAGTGGACTCATTACAATTGCAGGGCCTCTAAAGAGTCCTGTATTGTTATTTGTCGTCACTACATCCCCGCGTCGGGAGTGGGTAATTTGCGCGCCTGTTGCCTTTCTTGCATGTGGTAGCCGTTTGTCAGGGTCCCTGTACGGAATTGAACCCTGATTCCACGTTACCCATGGTCACCATGGTAGGTGGTAAATGGCATCGAAAGTTGATATGGATTGACATACGAATGCGTCGTCGCCTTGTCGTTGGGGATCACATTGAAAAATTGCTCTAGCATGACGAGCTGGGTGATCTCCTACGGGAACTTGGTTTGATGGGAGTTGAGCCAGGTCTGGATGGCCCTTGTAATGCAGCATGCCCACTCCGCATGGGAGTCCTTCTCCCCTGTCCGGGTCTCCCTAAACTTTTGGCAGTATTGCTCGGGGGTGACCGCATACCAGGCCAGGAGGATTTGGGTAATAAAGGGATAGTCTCTGATCTGCTCTTCTGGTACAGCCTGGTAAATATCTGCTGTCTTCCCCACTAGTTTTCCGGCCAGGATGGTGACCCAGTCGCTGGGGTCCACGTCTTGGAGTAGGCACTGGCGCTCAAAGTCTTGTAAAAAGTCATCAATGCCTTCTTCTGCTTCCTTGAAGTCTTTGAAGGCATTGTGTGGTAGCTTGTGGACCAGGGTGGTTGTGCTTCCCGGCGCCCTCTGCTCCCTTCTTCCTTCATCTGGGTTCATGAAGGTCTCCCTCTGTCTATTGGCAAGGACATAGGCTTGCACCTCCAAAAAGATCCTGCTGACAATCTCCTCTGAGGGTGGCACTTGGTAATATGCCAGGCGCCGTTACACTTCCTTGTGCACTTCCTCCTCATCTCCTGCTGCTGCTCGCCTGTCTGCGCTGCAGCGTAACTTCCCGCTCTCCGCCTCATGAGACTGTGCGAGCAGCAGCAGGCGATAGTGGAGTTTCAGCTGCAGCAGGCACGGGTCAGTTGCTCTGCGGAACAGAGTTGTCTTTTTTTATATGTCCCAATATTTTGGGGGCTACCCCAATAAAAAAAAAAAAATAAAAAAAAAAAAATATATATATATAAAACAGTGTTGGCTACCTCCTCCTCCTCCACCGCCGCTTCCACCTACACTGCCACGTTCGGGTCCCCATTTACTTCAATGGGGCTCGGGGTCAAGTTTGGGGTCATGTTCGAGCACGAGCACCAACCCGGACTTTTTTTCAAAGTTCGGTTGAACCTGCCGGACCCGAACATCCACTTGTCCGCTCAACTCTAATAACCACCCTTGGAATATAAATAGCTGCAAAGTACAGTTATTCAATATATTAATGATCGTAATACAATAACAGTCATGCAACAGAAACAAAATAATCCCAATTCAAAACTATATGTAGGTAGTATATAGTACAAAATGAAAAAAAGAAAACAAATTGTATAAGAAAATAAAAAACTAATTTTCTAAATTAACTTACTAGATATAACATTTTTTTTCTAATTTTTCATTTTTTTGTGTGAATCTTTATTTTTGCTGTGCAGTGATAGAGCATGGATATTGTACAAATTCAAGAGATTAAATCATGTAGAAGGTTATCCATCAAACAGCACAAAAAGCTACACATTTTTTTATAGTCATAATGAAAACAAGAGTAGCACAGCGCTCTCCATAATAAAATCCAAATAAGGCTTATAAGCAATAACTATGTAAACACAAGCTGACAGGTGAAGTGCGATACATTTGAAAATTGAATTAATAAGACAGAAAAGGTACATCTATTATAGCAACATGTCAGTGGAGGAGAAAAAAAGTTGATCTTCATAAAAACCACTGATAGATATTTTTAGAAATTTTAATTTGTAAGCCCTTTCCTGAATATTGTACATCTCTCAGGATGATACGGAAGTCATCCACTTTATCCAATAATAATTTTTTCAATTGCTATTTTAGTAATGTATTAATGCTTATTTACATTGAAAGCAAAGTATGGAACTACTTGCTAGATTGTATTTTAATACCTTGCTAATATCAGTGCAGACAGCTCAACATTATGTGATCCATGAATGTTGGAGTAGTAAGACTAACAAAGCTTAAAATGTACTGGCTAACAATAAAACTATCATATAACACTGTTCCAGGCAAAAAAACTAAATTGCTCATATGTTCTTTTTTAAAATCATTGTGTAGTTTTTAGATCTCATTATTTTACTTCAGACTACTTGTTACCATAGGTGTGTGCAAGTGGGGTGCAGCCAGAGTTCAGGATGCTGAACAAACAAGCAGGAAGATCAGAAGGTCTCCACGAGCGGCCCTGTGCACTCCCCACATGAGAAGCCAAGCCAGAGAACTTGGTTCTCTGTTGCCACGATAACCCTGCACGTGGGTGTAGACAGGGTGCATTTCTCACTGGACTCCCTATGCTTCAGGGTTTAAAGGAAGAAACTATATTTAATATTTTTTTATGTTTTTTTTTTTAACTTTCCCTTTAACCCCCCACTGCTCCTAATTCCCCATTACTGCTTCTAATCCCCACTACAGCCTCTAACACACCACTACTGCCCCTATCCCTACACTACTGCCAGTTTCCCCTCCATTGCAGCCCTCAACTCCCCCTATTGCCTCTAACTCCCACTATATCCCATAACCCCCCTTTAGCTCCTAACCTCCTGACTACTGCCTCTACCCCCTCTACTGCTCTTCAATCCCCACTACAGCCCCTAATAAACACTACTTCCTCTAAAAACCTACTACATCACCATGCCTCCCACTACATACCCTATACCCCACTACATTCTCTAACCACCACTCCTGCCTCTAACTACCCATTACTGCTCCTAAACTTCTCACTACACTATCTAACCCTTCTATGTGCCACTACTGCCCCTATCTCCCCCTACAGCTCCAAAACCCCCATTACTGTCCCTATCCCCCCCACTAGGGCCCGTAACCCCCATTACAGCCACTATCCTCACAGTAATGCCATTAGCCATTAACCAGTTACCTAATCCACACTGAGGGGGGTCAGGTACTAAAGTGAGGGTTTACATGACATAGTTGAGGGTCTGAAAGGTCAGCAAATTTGTTCTAAATAGAAAATCCACTATTTGTACTTCTTCTCATGTGTATTGTTTCTGTGTGACTGACTGTGTAGCTGTATTTCTGAGTGTGTATTTGTGTGTGCATGTATCACTGAGTGTGCAGTTGTATATGTTTGTAGGATTGTGAGTGACTGTATGTCTGTGTGTGCCTGCAGGGCTGCCATCAGATATTTTGGAGCCCCTAACACAACTTCAAATCCCACCCACAGGACCCGCTTTAAAATCTGCCCACAAAGAGGTAGTGTTTGTAGAGTGGATACAGGGTGTGTGTTTTGTGGATGTAGTGTGTGTTTGTGTATTGTCTGCAGTGTGTGTAAAGTGCAGTGTGTGTTAGTGCACGTGTAGTGGATGCGGTGTGTGTGTGTGTATATCTACAGGTGATACTTGAAAAATTAGAATATCGTGCAAAAGTTCATTTATTTCAGTAATGCAACGTAAAAGGGGAAACTAATGTATGAGATAGATGCAGATAGACTGAGATTGTGGATTTGGGGTTTTCATGAGCTGTAAGCCATAATCATCGCACTTGTGACAAATCATGGCTTGAACTATCTTGCTTTGCATGTAATGCGTCTATCTCATATATTAGTTTTCCCCTTTTATGTTGCATTACTGAAATAAATTAACTTTTGCACGATATTCAAATTTTTCGAGTATAACCTGTTTATATATATAGATGTAAAACCAGATACAACTTGTATCTTGTAATACCTTTTAATGGGACTAACAGAATTTTGTAATGACAAGCTTTCGGGAGAAACTCCCTTTCTCAAGTCTAAAGCATGAAGCTCAGAACTGCTTTAGACTTAAGAATGCGAGGTTCTCCCGAAAGCTAAGCTTATTACAAAATTCTGTTAGTCCAATAAAAAAGGTATAACAAATTACAAATTTTATAGTTTTTTTTACATCTGCATCACTGGAGTAATATAGCTACAATCTCTACTTGAACAATATATATATATTATCTGTTTTTACATCTTTTTGCCTAGATTAGGTGTTTTAAAAAAAACCAAATAAAATCTTTCAACATTGAAGTTGCTGTTTAGTGGATAGGTGAGTGAGCTGGATCTTGTGTATTGTATTTATGCATGTTCAGGTGAGTGCAGACAACCCCCCTTGTTTCATATATATATATTTGGGAGTATAGCCAACTCCTCAGTTTTGCACCCCTCCCTGTCACAGGTGCCTCATCCCAGGGCCCTATTTAGCCTTGTACTGCAGAGAGCCCCAGACAGTGGCGGATCCAGGGGGGGGGGCAACGGGGCAATTGCCCCCCCCGAGAAATCCGCCGGTCTCCCTCTCCCCTGCCAGCAGCACATGCAGGTGCTAGCCCTGCAATGTGCCTGCGGACCGGAGGGGAGATCAGAGCTCTCCCTCCCCGGTCCGCAGGCACTGTGCTTACAGCCGGCAGGGGAGGGAGAGGGAGGAGAAAGGACCCAGGAGCTCAGGCTGCAGCTCCTCCAGGTCCTCCTCTCGCGAGATTTGCAGCATTGCCGCGGTTACCACGGCAACGCTCCAAATCTCGCTAGAGTGAACTCTAGCCGGGCTAGAGTTCACTGTACCCACTGGGACTCGCAGGGAATCACCACTGGGACCACCAGGGATCGAAATATGTCCCCCCTCCTCCTAGTAAAGGTAAGAAGGGAGGGGGGACATAGAATATATATTTATTTTAATTAAATAAATAAAAATATATATTATAAAAAAAAAAAGCCCCCCTACCCTTATCACACACTCTATACACATACACCCCCATACACACACATTGCCCCCCATACACACACACTGCCCCCATACACACACATTGCCCCCCATACTGCCCCATACACACATACTGCCCCCCTACACACATTGCCCCTCCATACACACACCCCCTATACTGCCCCCCACACATACTGCCCATACACACACACATTGCCCCCCATACTGCCCCCCATACTGCCCCCCATACACACACACATTGCCCCCATACACACACACATTGCCCCCATACACACACACACTGCCCCCCATACACACACCCTCCCATACTGCCTCCATACACACACACATTGCCCCCATACACACACACATTGCCCCCATACACACATACTGCCCCCATACACACACACATACTGCCCCCCATACACACACATTGCCCCCATACACACACACTGCCCCCCATACACACACACTGCCCCCATAGACACACATTGCCCCCC